CCAATGTGAATTGTAATCTGCTATGCATTGAGTTGAATGTCTCCAAAACTTCGTCTAAATGATTTTCTGGAGCCGTAAATAGTATGTCGTCAACATACCTAAAATAAAACGGTAATTTGTAAGGTAGACGTTCGATTGCTGAATTTTCCAAATCTTGTAACACAAGTTTATATTAGTTTATAAATGTGAAAAAGTTTATTAGTCATAAATGTGAATTTTATAGCATGGCGCGACAGGTAATTGCTATAATGCTCACATTGTACATTGAGAAAGGCTGAAGCGCTTTGTTGGTCTCCGTTGTCCCCGGTCACCACGCAGGTGTATTCCCCAAGGTCGCCCATAGCAGCTGAATTTATCGTCAACGTTCCATCGCTGCCGGTGGACGCTCTTCTTCTAAGATCCTGTTGCGATAATAAATTTGGCACTAAATCGTTTAAGTGTCGAGAGCACATAAAATATATCGAGTAAATTTTTCACCTGTATTTCGGGTATCGATACTCCTTCGCGAAACCAGTTTATAATTGTCCCTTCGCCCTTAGCGACGCAGTCAAAAGTGATCGTATCGCCCTCCATGGCAGTCTTATTGACAGGTGGTACTGTTAGCAGAGTATCACCTGGAACAGTCGTCGCAATCGGCGACACACCTAGGTTGAACGATTTAACGAGTCTGCCCAGGTTCAGGTTAGTAAGCAGCAGCGGGGTTACAGTGTTTCTTTGTTCGTATTAATTATCCCCGATTGTTTCGTATTAGCGGGATTAACGGCGCGTGATAGCCAATTAGTTATTTGCATTTTCAATTTAGTAAATCGGCATACGCGTTAATAAAACAAATCCATTAGCGTCAGTTAATGGCGCGCCATCACCGTAAGCTGCATAAATGCATGGTAGCTGGACTCGTTATAAACTACTATTCGGGAACGAAAATTTTTAAGATCATGTGAGAATTACGTAACGTAATGTTTGATTTAGGGCACAACCTTGAATTTACTTGAGCATGGGAATAACTGCTTTCCGCAGTATGTCATGATAAATAAGCTGTTATTCGAGTATACGAGTGACTCAGTCTTCTCTCGTACCATGTAATGGAATTTAAACTACAAAAACGGGAATTCTGTCTGACAAGTTAACTACTGACTCACGACGTGAGATCTCTTCTAACTAATACAATCGATAAATTGAAAATTTGGGAGGGAGTCGCATAAACAGCTTTCATTAATTTCTGAAATTAATTTTTTAATCGATGAAGATTCTCATAAACTATTTGTCCACGAAGAAACACCATGCAACCATAGTTTGCAATATTTTATTATTCTATTCTATTCTATTTTGTTTAATATTCTATTAAAAATAATTTATAACATTATTTTATCGGAATATCAGTGCGTGTAATAAACGCAACGAGTGCATCAAATGAGAAAGAGGAAACGCCGAGTGACCCCTTAATCAAGATCGGCTTTTTTTCTTGTCTTCTGAGCTTTAAAGGGGCCAAGAATGTCGAAGGTGCGATTAAGTTTGAAGACTCACATCCTACTTGCGAAAAAATTAGGACACAAATTTCACAGTTATAAGCTCGGTTAACTCGCACGTCGGACTGACCTAATTAACGATCAGCCTTTGTTAGTCGGCATCAAACTCTGTGTTAACACATTATACTTTATTGCATCCTTGTGGTAGCATCGGCAGGTATCCTCGTACCTACATGCTAACGGGTGCACTTGTGTACCCGAAAGAAAATTATATAATAATTAGTTGATGAATGCATTAGCAGATTTCTGTTATTTATGTATATCCGTTCACCCTGTTACAATTTTCGTCGCATGCAAATATCATTGTAAATGATAGGCTTACCATCAATGGCGAGGTGGAACCACGTGCCATTGTTTCTAGAATTCGGCGTTCTATTGGGGAAGATCACCCTACATTCATACCAGCCCTGATCGCTTTCGCGAATATTCGTGAGGTTTATACTACCCTGACCGTATCCACGATGGCCGGCATCGTCCAGCAAATGTATGCGACTCTTGTAGCGGTTGTCCACTGTCGCCTGTCCGTCGTACCAAGAGAATACCGTGCGACCCTGAAGCATTAATGTTAGTGAAACTATTTATATTAAGATCTTAACGATTAAGATGTATGTTTTTAGTAAATTGGAATGAACTCTATAAGGTTTTGCATTCGCTAAAATATATTAAAATGATTTTATAAAACGATTTTAATACTTTTTCGCGCTTCAGTTTAGCTTCTTCTCCAGAAATATTTCATTATCCGACAGAATTTTTGTACGCGATCGTAGGCGAACCTACGTCTTCGGAGAATTACACCGCGTAACTTGATAGCAGTATTTTGCAGCGATGGCCGTTAATTGGCTCATCCTTTCGCGGAATGCAAGACTCATATGAGTCAACGGAAAAAGTTAATGTTAAATTTGTTTTATTAATGCATGGTACCGCGTTAATAAAGCGTAATACAGCGCAATGATCAAAGATTCGCCATGTCATTCACGATGTCTCGATTCGTATGCCGGTTGGCACTTCTCGTATTGTACGACGGGTCCAGAATCCTCGAAACAAGGATATGTACGTCTGCTGGCAGGGGCGAAAATGGCGCTAATCGCTTTTAATCATCTGACAATGCATTAACAGTGACCTACTGGATGGACCCCTCATGTCGCAGACTGAACGTGACTAAATATAATGCAGCCTTGCGTCCCGTACTCCAATTACCACGACGGACAGACAAAGAGGGAAGGAGCACCTGTTTTGCATACGCATCAGGGACCAATCAGGTTAAGTTCCACTTGATTCTATGCGGTAACCACGTGCAATCCGTTTCCGTCGTACGGCAATCCAATGTGACATCCGCAAAGACTTGCACTCGGGCAAATTCATTGCTTAGCCATTTTACCAGCCATATTGCGAGAATCGGGTGTCTCTCTTGCCGATGAGAGTCTTTTGTGAGATCGCGTATACTGTTAAATATCTATTTATTGATTTCCTTTAATTGGTGAAAATAATTATTTTTTACCGATATGACGATACCATGAAAATAACTTGCTATCGTTTTATCGTGACGCTCAATGTTGTCGGGTTCCCTCTTGCGCGTATTATATATCTATTTGAAATCCATATCTAGATAGATTATCATGTCAACAGAATCAGATATATTCTAAGAAATCGAATAACCTGCCCTACCTTGATTTTTTTTCCTTCTCGTCACTGTCAGAAAACGGATGAGTGTGTAAATCAACTGATTAACAATCTTCACGTTCTTTAATATTCAATCAGTCCATTGCCACATAACGTGCGGTATATTAAGTATACGTAGATTGTACGAGTAAATTACTTTTTTTTATCAATCTACGCAATTCGCGCATTTTGTAAAACAAGATTGTTATTTGCATCAATTACATTTTTTATAGTCTTTTAAGAAGAATTTAGTTTTTTATGTATTATTTTATTACAATAATTTTAGATGACTAAGAGATATGTATTATACGTTTTCTCAAGCAATCTATTATTTGCACTGCAGAAATTAATATTTCGCAATTTGCGCATTTTATAAAACAAGATTGTTGTTTTTATCTGCATTAATTACATTTTTTATAGTCTTTTAAGAAGAATTTAGTTTTTTATGTATTATTTTATTACAATAATTTTAGATGACTAAGAGATATGTATTACGTTTTTCCGAGCAATCTATTATTTGCACTGCAGAAATTAATATTACATTAAATATCGCGTGTCTACATTGAAGTTTTTACAATTACTTACAATCAGTAAATATCCGCATAATTAATACGTGCATTTGATTCAAGGTAAAATCGTCATACGTGGAATATTAATTCGATTACGCAATGTATAGCGTGATTGAATACTACTTTCCATTAGTACACGTATTGCGTATTTTTCAATGACATTTATCTTACGAATGCGAATATATCGTTTTGATTAAATTATATAGCAATTAGTGAACTCGATAATAACGATGTTTCGCCAGCAACATAAAAGTAACATGATGAGGATTTTATGATGATCAAAATATTTTGGTGGTTCAACTGCACGTTATCGGCATAAGATTACGAGCTTATACTTACGTCGCGATTCCATTGAAGAATGTACGGAATCGGCGTCTCGTGCGGAAAATCGAGATCGCAATTGAACACCGCGTACTCTCCTACCCCGGCCGTAAGGTAATTCGGTTCCTTGTCCTCCTCTAGGATCAAGCTATAGCTGCAGGCTGAAAACCGGCGATTTAAATGTTTTATTTCGCATATCTTGCGATGAATTTTTATTTATCTACCGACGGCGAAACATTGTAGATAAATGTCTGCGCGAGAAGACGTCGCGTGTAAAGTGATATTACACATTGGGACTAATTTCCGGAGATTGCGTAATTTTCCGCCGGATTATGCGTGACGATCGAGCGCGTTAAAACGATACGTTGTTGCTATCTGTCCCCTAGTATAAACAGGATTCTGCGCCCAAGAAATAAGTGAGTCGAATATGTGAAAAACAGACAACATCGAAGAAAATAATTTGTAGACAGAATTAATTGTTTTTTTAAAAGAATATTATGTTTATGGTTACTTATATATATTATTTTTTTCGTTGTGTTTGCAAGTTTTAATGTTGCGGAGGTTGAGTAAAATTATTGCAACTACTTAAGTGAAATGAAATACTCGTGCAATTCTCGATAATCGAATTTCATTTGTTTGTGCCTCATATTAAACAATCAGCGAATCGTGCCATAGTCATTATAGTCTGAAATGCTGAGTTTATGTTTCTTGATACAACACTCTTTGCTCGTAAAATCACATGCAATTGCTTTCTTTTTTTATTTTTCTGTGTCACTCGGACAAATGCGAGGGTTGATTTTTAACTAGATGTTGCGAGTGGACTTTTGGTTCCAAAATTCCTCACCTTCGTAGCAGAGGAAGACTGCCAGTAGCTTGTAGAACTTCGCGGCGCGGTTCATCCTTGCGTTTCAATCCTAATTTCACGTTTTCACTTTATTTAAGTTGTTTCAACGCAATCGGTTCGTTGCGCTGATAGAAACGGCGATAGGTCACACTCCGCGACAACGACCGACACATCTGTCATCACCCGCACTCATTGAATATCAGCCACTACCTTTGAGCTCAATTAGCACGCGTCACTCTCACGCCATAGGTGTTCGTTTTGATCATTCTCGATTTTTCTTGCCTTTTCTGAATTAAATCTGAGACGATTTGACCGAGACGGAGGATCTTTCCCGTGAACACTTCCTTCTTCCAGTATCTCTTCGTCTTCGTCTATTTCGATATCCAACGGCCTATTTCGATAGTCGCGCTGACTTTATTACTTGAACATTATCGAATCGAGATCAATCTTCATTATACCCTGATTCAACCCTTCATTCAGAATACCGATGTGACCATCGAGGTCATTGACACCGCAGAACAGTAAGAGGCATAGAAAGTGCAGTAGGTACTTTGCGCTGGAGCGATGCACAATTTGATCTGAGATCAGACTGGTCCACCGTGAAGTAGCTCAGAGGCAACACTAGATCGAGTAATCGTGCTGTGCTCGCTCAATCCGAGCGGATACGAAGAGCCAAGAGTAATGAGTAACCGGGAGGGGGCTGCGAGGGTGGATGGACCGCGGTGATACGCGGGAGGGGGATGAGAGCAAGTATAGCGATTCTACGTTTACGGGCACGGTGTGTACGGGCTCCGGTTTGTGTTGAATGCAAACTTTGGCACACCCATGGCGATACGAATGAATGGCGTTGCACAAAACGTGACCTACCTATTACATGTGATTACTTTGATCCCGTAAAAAAAAATAACACAGCATCATGAAACGCCGAACCCTTTTATTTCCTCGAATGAGTGCATCGCTCGATGTAGAAATAATGCTTTACGTTCTAACATCGTAGATTTTGGGAAATTGAAGGGAAATTGTGACAGCGTGTATACTTTACGCGTTTATTCATTTATGATGACTTATGAAAATTGTTTTAAAAAGTAATAGGAATAATTTTAACACTAAATAATTTTCATTTTGGATAAATACACTTTTATGTTATATATTTGTTTTCACATATTCTTAGATCTCTATTATTTTGTAACAATTAATAGAGTGTTTAACGTATAATGCGGTTGTCAACAGTAAATATGATGAATATGACAGACTCACATTGATTTTTGTTCTTTATTATCTTTTATATGCAATCCTGTTGAGACGTGCAAAGGGTCGTGTTCTTACAAATGAGAACGGAAGAATTAACCTGCATTCAATTTATCTTCGGTCGCCGACTCGTGCTCTTTCATCGCTGTTCTTTCTTGGTCAAAGCTGATTCGAGAGAGTTAAGCCCCACGTGTGATGCAAGTAGAGATTAAAAGTTCACTACACCCGATTGCATACACAATTCTTTGATCTCTTTAAACGACACAAGTTTAGATGCAAATTCTGTAAGTTATATTTTTAAATAGTAGTGACATGTTTTATTTAAAATAATAAGTATCTGAAAAGTGTATAAAGACAGATATTCACGCTTAAAAGAGAAATATTAATTTTACATAAATGAATAATACAATATGCGAAGAGTAACTCGCGTAATAAAAAGTAGTTAAACATAAAATAGATGAGAGAGAGAGAGAGAGAGAGAGAGAGAGAGAGAGAGAGAGAGAGAGAGAGAGAGAGAGAGTAGAGTAGTAGTACGTA